AAGATTTTTGTGGCATGGAATCAGTCATTCCTCAAATAAATGTTAGGCCTTGATGATCATTGCACCAAGAAAATGTTCAAATAACCAATAAATTACAGAGCACTTCAGCAACATCTTGTAGAGTATTTTGAAAGTGATGGTACAGATCCACAAATAATAACAAGCTTGGTAAAAAAAAAAAAAAAGCATGCATCAAAAGAGTTGCAATAATTCCAACCTGTCCGACCCTATGAATAAATTGTTGGGAAGCCTGCATGCATTCATATCTTCATTTGAAGTGTAAGGATGATGGTATATGCCAAAATTTTGCTAGATAAGGATTTGTGCATTAGTATGGGGTTGTTGAAATGTAGATCCCACAACTGTCAGCTTTCCATCTTATCCACAATTTAATGTAAAAAATTCTTACTGTTCCTCAGAAAAATATTAAGTCCTCACGCCTACACGCATCCATGTGCACTCTTGTGCAAACACTCACATTTAGGCATGTGGATGAAAGAGAATGAAGAAACCGTACTGCTTCGGTAAGAGATTCTGTGAGCTCTCTCTCATGGGCAGTATTCTCTATAATCGGGACCACGAGCTCATCATAATAACCATGCCCTTGAATTCCTTTGATCATTTCCATATGAGTAATCTGTAAATTGAGGAAAGTGGCACCACAAGAAAGCTCAGGAGATATTACCATAAAACATAAAAATCTAGACAACTTTTACGTCACAACTAAATAAGTCAATTTTGCTATGAAAAAATGTTACTAGGAGCAGGGGACTAAGAATCTGTGAGAGGGTGATGCTTTTCCTTTACAATATTCAGACCTTGTAAAGTCTATGGGGAAAATTTTAATTTTCTAGATTCAAAATTTCAAATAAGAATCTATAATTGGATGCAAATGCACCACTACACTAATTTCTGTACTTCTAGAACAAACTTCATAAACTTTCTTCAGTACGGAAACATTTAGTATGGTGTGAGCTCTCTGAACAAGCTTCAGTCCCATCCTGTTTCTCTCTTGAATATGAAATCCCTGTTAATGCTTACTCTGATAAATCTCTTTAAATATGACCCAACTCAGCCATTAGAAACCAGTGAAAAAAGTTATATAATAAATAAATAAAACAAATGGAGGAATAGCATCAACACATTCTACTATGATATTCTTAAATTACTTCATTTATCCACAAACATATCATCTGTATTTATAATCATCCAAAAACTAGTATCAGATACACCTGAAAAAGAAACAAAAAGAAAAATGTCCATTCCTATACTAATAATTAAAGAACCTCGAAGGATATGTGAAGGATCATGTAAGAGGACTGTGGAATTGGACTTTATCCTTGCTATCTATTGAACAGCCAAGTTAACATATGTACCCGAAATTCTTTTGATAATGGGCTGATCATAGTTACGAGGCAAGATTCCATTCCATGACTGTGGATGACGGCACCTGCATTACGCATCTCATATGCCTGCGAAACAGGATGAGCATTACTCTTAACACAAATTTTACCCAGAAATTAAAAAAATTGGCAAATTAAGATCCTCCTTATGTGCAGATTCTTTACTGAAGTCCTATCACAGTGATTTCATTTTCACCAGTAACTGTCAGTTGTCCCAAAAAAATAGCTCAAAATAGTTATAAACCTATTTATCCAAATACCAGAACAATAAAACCTGCTATAGTAGTCAAACTTCATACTTCTTAAGATGTGAATACTTATACTAGTCACCAATTTAGAGAAGACTTTAATTTTACATCAATATCATTTCGGCCTTATAAATGGAATTTTCAGTGAGAGCAATCGTGGCAATGACAAACAGCAGAACTTAAATATACAATCCAAATACTCAAACTCAGTATGATCAAACCCCCAAACCCCAAAATTTGGAGGCAACCAAAAGACGGGGCTGAATACATGTAAAATACACCTTCATGAACAGGGGAGCGCAATCAGAACATTTGGGAGGTTTATGAGGCCATGGCTTTACCAATGGTTCAGACAAAACAGATCCATTTGGTGACAGCACATACATATCTTCATCGACCATTCTTTCCTTCTGCACACCTACAAAACACCCACAAAAACCCAGTTTTCATTCACAAAATCCGAAAAAAATAAAACAAAACAAAAAATTAGCGTTATTGACCAATAAAACACACCAAATGTAACATGTACCTGAGGGAGACATGACAATAAGTTGTTGGGGTTTCGGAATTGAGTCATCATGGACTTTGATGGTGATGCTGCCACCAGTCCCAGAAACCCAACCCAGGTGGTAGAACTGGCGGCACAGCTCTGAAATAAGGGCTTTTGTTTCTTTTATTTTATGGCTCTCTAAATATGCCTGTGGTGGTGTGGCCATTTTCACAATTCCGTTTACGGCAAGTGGGACTGCTGGAGCTGCAGCCATGGTGTATGTATACGTATATATGTGTGTGTTTCGTTGGCGTGGAAAGGAAATTGATTCTTTTCTGGCTTTTCAATGTAGAAATTGATTGCGTTTGCTCAGCGATGAGTCAAGACTGGATTTTTATTGGGCCATTTGGGATTAATTGTAATTAATACTGTTTTATTACAGTGTTTAGACTTTTAGCGTGCCAAATCTGAGTTCTTGAATGGCTTTAGCTTTATCATTTTCACACGATACGTCTTCAATATTTTTCTTAATAACGATTTTTTTCCCCAAAAATTACGTTAAAAAATAACAATATATATATATATATATATATTTTTTTTTTTTTTAACTTCTCGTACTTTTAAATAAACAAAATTAAAAAAAAATAAATAAGATTCAATAGTGAGCACCGTCTCTTTTCTCCATGATGGAGTATTTGCAAGAGGCAGGATGATTTTCTTCCATGCAGGGATTAGCAGCACTCGGCAAGCCTTGGTGGCCATCCTGTTGGTTTCGTAATTTTTTTTTTCCCCTTATATTGGGCTGTCGTTTAAGCGGCTGTCCATGCTCATCTGAATTCGTTCATATTAACCTGAATTCTTGAATCAGTTATTGCTTCCATGAAAGGGTGCTTAGTCTGTAAACTTTTACTGTTGTCAGTTTAAAATGTGGCACGATTCGATTTCCCATGAAACATTCTGGGCCATTACTTGTACTTGAGTTTGTTTCAACTGGTTTCTCTGTGGATACCATGTTATTTCCAACATTAGTGGTTAAAGAATTCACAAATTTTAGAGTGAAGGTATTATTATATTATGTTGTAATTCAAATCAAGTAACACTTCGTACCTGTACATCTTTCCCATTTAAGATTCAGTGGTCTTATTGAACAAATAGGGAATTTTCTTTTTGGTTCTCGACAGATGGAATATTTTGGGCCTAAACATGACATTCAGTTGAATGAGATGCTGAAAGAGAAAGTCCAGCCATACTTACAAAATGTCGAAAACAATGTTCTTCCTCAGCCTATATTATTGCAAACTCAGAGCAATCAGGATCAAAAGGTTTCTTCTTGCTTTCGCAATTGGTCTATAATCTTTATCTGGGGTGATAATTGAAATTGCTCGACAAACTTTGGGATCGATTCTCATATATATAGATTTTCAGTATTGAAAAAGATTAGAGAACAGGACTTCAGACTTTTCCCTAATGATATGCGAACTGCTGTGACAATTCTGATAGTTAACCTATTACAAAATTCAGTCATATTTTAATGTAAAGCTGCTTCATTATTTAGGGTCCATATGACAGGACTTTTGAAAAGTTAAAAACTATTTTTGAGAATAAGAAAATGATTAGGGGAACGGTTATCGTAAAGTTAACTCCTTAGGAATGTCTCACACTTGCTTATTTGCTGCAGAGAGAGCAGAAGCGAAAGTGATGGCGACTGCTTTGAGAGTCTTTCTTAATGCTGAGTTCCCGACTTTCTTGCCGGTTATGGGTTCGCCAATTAATTGTAATCTTTTTTCTTAATCGACGGTAAAATCCTCCTTTTTTATTAATAAAAATACTTGTTGAAGTAGCACCAAAATTGTTTTTCGTAAAATTGTTAAGTCTAAAGAACACTCAAGCTAACTCATATTGCACCAATCATGAATATACTTAAATTCATATACTAATAAAGACAATTTTTAAGATTTGATGGAAAAGGAACAAATATATCTCAACAAATTACTCAAATGATGCCATTCACATAGCATAGTATCGTGTGAATCAAGAATGAATCAATCTAGTAATTATTGAATAAGAAAAAAAAATAAACAAAAAAAAAATTGAATTCCACGTCATATTGTATAAAGATCTTGATCAAAAGACAAATAATAATATAAATTTATAGTATCATTTTCAACAACAATTAAAGAACACAAATCGTTACACAATCATGGCATGAAAACAAGAAACAAACCAAAATTCCACAATTTAATCTTAAAATGAAATAGAAAAATATTACCCTTAAGAGTTGACATCAGCCAAATATCACACTCCCAATACATGCATTCATGTAAACTTTTTCTCTCTTCCATCTTGTTCAGGAGTGATTTTTTTCTTCAAAAAATTGATTGTTTGACCATTATTTTATTATTTCAGTCGTTATATTTGACTTTTTCTCTCACAGGTGGACCCCACATTTTTCGTATCGATCAAAAAATAAATTTTCAAAATCAATTTCAAACAAGCTCTAGCACATCTGGTGGCTTTGGTGCAGCCACGGGCCACGGCAGCAGTGATTGGTTTTCTAGTGGTTCTTGCAGTTGTAGTACGAGAGTTCATGACGGTTACACACTACAAGAAATATATACTTTCCCTACAAAAATTTCGTAGACAAATTAAAATTTGTGGACGAAATTCACTTTTCCCTCAAAAAGATATTTCGTAGGGCTATGATTTGATTCAAAATTTTTAATAGTGGAAGGATTTGTGCCCACAAAAATTATATTCTTTTTAAGACAATAAAATTTGAAGAGGAAGAGACATCTTAAGCCAACAAAAAATTAGGCTAATAATTTGTGGGAAATTTTTCCAATTTAAAACACGCAAAATTTTAAAACACGGAAAACAGCCGCTTCTTCCTCTTTTCCCATCACTGTGCATGAGAGAACCATGGAAGAAATGCAGCTTTCTTCCTCAACAATCGACCACCACCCGCCACCTGGACCACCAGATCCCACTACCATTCGAACCCCCTCACCTTCATCTTCAACCTCTAGTCATCACCGGGCCACGGAGTTGTCGAAAACAGCTCCAATCACCACCCAAAATCGCGCTACCAATCACGATTTTTGCCATATTTCCACCGCCGTTAGCCACCGTTTCGATTGCAGACCACCAACACTCTCCTTCTCTCAACCAGGCGCATCCAGTACCACCATGGGTCACCTACAATTTTGTCCAAAATCGAGAGAGCTTGTGAAAGCAGTTCGTGAGTGCTCTAATTTGTGTTTTTTAATTTTAATTATTATTATTATTGATTGGTTCACTGTCTGGTCTTGTCCTACAGACCCGTTTAGACCCAAAACTGTGATCTGGGTTTTGAATGAAAATTCATTTGGTGAAAGATCTTTTGATTATCCGATTTAAGGTGAGTTTATCAGAAGCATTTGAACTCTTATTCCATTTTTGTTTTATTATACAATGTAATTATATAAATTACAGTCTAAAAGAGTAAAGAGTCATCAGTAGAACTAGATTTTTTATCAAAAAAATTACTAACTCTTAGCTGTATCTTTTACTGTATTAGTTTGTCATTGTACGTGTTTAGCATTGATTGCTATAGAAAGAATCATTTGAGAAAACATACTTTGCTTCCAAGGAAAAACAGAGATGTTATCTTTTTTGGGAGAAGTTTCAATATTTTGCATTGACAAAAATGGGTTCTAATGTGAATACTGGCATACAGTTGGATGGAATTGAACAATATAATTATCATTTTTTTACCATATATATGCCATAATTCTTGTATTGGTAATTTTTTAAAGGCAGATTCTTTTTTCTCCCTTAATTTTTTTTATTTTCATTTTTAATTTTTAGGCAATTTTCTGTTATTTTCTTGAATTAATAGTGAATCCATTTAAATCTGGGCAGAATGATAAAAGGAAGATTACAAAAATTTCTCTACATTCTTGTTTGTATGTTTATTGTGATAAGAACAAAAGGATTTTTGGTTGATATTACTTATGTTCAGAGTATTGTGGCAAAAGGAGCAGGGAAAACATCAGGGGTCAACATTTAGAGCAAAATTCTAATTTATTTTTTTTTCGTGCATATATATATTTTTAAAAAAGATTCAATATTTATTTTTTTGCTTTGTGTTTGCTGTTTGTTTAGACGGTAGTCCACCGGCATATCATTTTGATAGGGGATCTGGTGCAGGAATTAACAATTGGTTGTTTCATATCGAGGTTAGTCCTTTTTTCATAAGCTATTGAAATATATATATAGTTTTTTTATGGCAGCAGAATGGATCATCGAAAGATTATATTTTAGATCATCCTAGGAAATAAGATTAGTTACCTGATTTTTTTAGGAGTATATAATTCATACAATAGGAAAAGATGTAGTAACTGTGTTTGAAACATAGTAAAAATGATGATGTTGAGATCAACAAACATCACAATGGAATTGATTAAATTATATAGAATAAAACTTATCTTCTTCTTGTTGCATTTTTGGTAATCAAACTGAGTATTTCACTTTTGATTTTGCCATCCATGTACCAGAGATATATTTGGCCAAATATTTGAACCTGTTGAAATTGAATATTTTAGTACAGAAAGTTAAACTTACTGTTTTTTATTATTTCATATCACTTTGACCGCTTGAATGGTTTTCATTCGGATTTTTCACAGGTCACGTCCAAGTTATGCATAAAAATAATGAATTTTCATCCTCTATAATAACTTAACAAAATCTGTTAATCTTCGTGTCCAGGGAGGAGGATGGTGCAACAATGTCACAAGTTGCCTTAGGCGTAAGAGCACACAGTTAGGCTCCTCTAAGTATATGGTTAAAAACCTTGCTTTTTCTGGGATATTGGGCAACAGGGGGCAGTTCAATCCAGGTATGTTTTAATTCTTCTCGATTTCTTGCTTTCATATGAAATCTATTTTTCTTTTGTGTCGCTTTTAATTAATACCATTGCCTCTGTATTGATTTCCAGATTTTTACAATTGGAATAGAGTCAAGATTAGATATTGTGATGGATCATCCTTTACCGGCGACGTAGAAGCAGTCAATCCTGTAAGAAGCTGTCATTACAAGAAAATTTTCTTCATTTTTTTAGTTATAACATTTTAAAGTGTTGATAGATGGATAGAACTGTTAAATGAGTTGTTTCATTATTCATTAAACTTCTGATCGATATGCATCTTCATCAGGTCACTAATCTCCACTTTAGGGGAGCAAGAATCTTTCTTGCTGTTATTGAAGATCTATTAGCAAAAGGAATGAAGAATGCTGAAAATGTACTCTTTTATCAAATTATTATTCCGCATATTGTTGCTGTAATATATTTTTCTTGCTCTTAGTAACTTATAATTGCTTTTAACTTAGGCTATTCTGTCTGGATGTTCTGCTGGTGGAATTTGGATGAACTATAAATTTTGTTATATTTGTGTTTTGGTAAAATATTGTGATTTAATATTACATTGATTGACACATGTTTAATTAATTTATAGTCTTTGGCCTTTTTATATTATTTTGAATAAGGTTAAAAAAATTACTACAATATAAGCAAAAAATATATATATGAAATAATTTAATTTCTCCCTACAAATTCTTTTAAAGTAACCTACAAATATTTTTTTCCCCACAAAATTATTTGTAGATAGGGTTTAGCCCACAAAATAATATGTATCATGTTGTCATAAATATTCTATTCCCACAAAATTTATTTGTAGGAAAAAATACAATTTAGCCTACAACATAATTTGTAGGGAAAAGTATGATTGTTTTGTGGGTAAAATTAACTTTAGCAGACGAATGATTTTGTCTGGGGGAAATTTACACGACGAATTGTGTTTGTCTTCAAAGGGTTCGTAGGGAAAAACTTTAGCCCACAAATTTAAAAAATTTGTCGTCTTATACCTTTTCCCTCGATATTTGCCCCACAAACGTGCCTACAAAAATTTTTCGTCTGCAAAGATTTCTTCCTACAAATATGAACCTTTCCCTACAAATAAAATTTGTAGGGAAAGCATAAATTTCTTGTAGTGACACGGGATATTATTCTTCCTGAGGGCGGCGTAGCTTATGTAACTCGAATTATATAACTGGCGGCAAGCAGTTTCCGACTCCATCATCAATTCTTCCACATCGAGGTCCATTGAGTCATGAGTCATGACCATCTTTGGGGATGAGGGCACCGTACAACAAGTCATTGGTGCTGGAGGATTGCGCTGCCGTGACCATGTTGGAGACTACGGCCAAGAGGAACAGGAAATCAAGTCCAGCATGGAAAGCCATCGATATAACCCCAAATGATGGAAAAAAGACTGAAAATATTAAATTTTCTTGCCTTCTTGCTTCTTTGTCTTAAGTTTTTCTCCTCGACCCTTCTTAGGGGAGAGAAAACGGAAGCTGATTGGTTAAGGGAGGGATAAGTGGAGGCTTATGTTATGGAGGCTTTGAAAGGTGAAATATGGTAAATTTGTGTGAATTTCTTATGCCCTTTTATTTCTCCTTGTTTTTCTATTGGCCAAATATCAAGTGTGTATTTTATAGACACATAGACTTGTTCTTATCCATATATGTTATAGTACACATATGATTTGTTCATATCCATGATAAGTGATAACTATATTAGAAAAAGTTCGATGGATTATGAGACTCCAATGTCAAAACTAGTACTTTTATGTCCCATTTTTATTTTCTTTTATTAGTTAAGGGTGGTACTGAATTTCATTTTACTAAATATTTGTTATTAAGTAGGATTACTACTTCAGTATTGCGAGTCAAGCATACCTTATTGAATAATATGAGTAAAAAAAAAAAAAAAAAAAATAAAAAAAAAAAAAAAAAAAAAAAAAAAACGTTAGAAGCAATATTTTAAATTTTGTGTTATGTTTTATAATAAGTAGAGGGATTGCACCCGTTAAAGAGTAGAATCAATTCTCAAACTAATATTTTTTGAGTTACTTTTTCAAAATTTCATCATGTAGTTTTGTTTAAATGATCACTATCTTCTAGTTTTACTTGTGGAAGCTTAGTTGAAATTCAAATGGATCGTGTGGAAGGTTTAATTGAAAGTGTTATTAGTGGTTTTATTGAATAGGAGGGTCAACAAGCTGACGGGAGTCAAGGTAAGAATGAAGATGTTCCGGTACGTGGTACACCTGAGCAACATGTAGATGACGGTTTTATGACATTAGTTAAAGGAGCGATCAGTCTACTAATTAATTGAAAATGATTTCATTGCAAAATGAGATTGACTATAGATATGTGTGGTACAAATAAAGAAGTCATCTCATTGCTTGCAATGACGGCGGTGATTGTGAGTGACATTAGAGGAGAGATGTCACATTTGTATTTGAGCGCAAAGAATTATATTAGGAACACTTCTAGATATGTTAATGGAGACTATATGGAAGATATATATATATATATATATATATATATATATATATATATATATGAACAGGCGACTGCTTTTTTCAGGTTATGTAAAGCCATTTTATAGACGAGTGAGGCGGTCGCGTAAGATCTCATATTTATCCTTTTTTATTTTGAGTAGATGTGTGGGGGTGAGGAAACAAGAAGTCTATTTTCTGTTTTTATTTTTATTTTTCTCTATCATTTTCATTTAACTTTCTAGTAAGAATTTTTTGTTTTATTTATAGTTTAAGGGTAGAATTGTCTCGTTATATATTAGTAAATTGAAACATTCAGAAAAATCTAGTAATAAAGAAAATTTTGAAAAAAAAAAAGAAAAGAAAAAAGAAAGCAGTTATAGACTTCAGTAAGATGATGACTCATTTTGAAAACAATAATCCTTGAATTTCTTAAATTGCCTGAGCTATAGGAATATCTAAGGGTAATTAGCACAAAACGTTTCCACCTTTCAAGTTTATTGTTGAAAACATCCATACATTTCATTTTTTGACATTTTTGCCCCTACCTTCCACATTTTCTTTGCACAGAAGGTCCTTTTGACGATTTTACCCTCCATTGAAATGAAACAAAAAGAAAAGAAAAGAAAAAATAAAGACTTAATTGCAAAAAAATGAAGACTTAATTGCAATTATAGTCCCAAAACTTTTTTTTAAAAATTATAAATCAGTCATAATTTATTGTGAACTAAAAAAATTTAAATTTAAATAGAGAAAAGAAACTTGAATGTATAGGGAAATAATCAAGAAATGGAGAATTTTTTTTTAATTTAATCATAACCAATGGAAATGAAAAATTTTGAATATTACGTGATTTTTACCTAAGCAAAATTGAGATTTATGCTTACCCATTTTTGAAGATTTTCAATTTCATTGGCTATGGTTCAAAAATTTCTCTATTTCTTGATTATTTCTCTGTACATTCAAGTTTCCTTTTTTTTTTTTTGGTAATTTAAAAATTTTTCAGTTCAAAATAAATTGTGACCGATTTGTCATTTTTTTTGAAACTTTGGGACTATTATTGCAATTAGTTCTTTATTTTTTTTCCTTTTTGTTTTATTTGAAAGGAGGGTAAAATTGTCAAAAAATAATGAAAAAGGACCTTCTGCAGAAATGTAAAAGGTAGGGCCGAAAATGCCAAAAAATGAAAGATTGAGACGTTTTTCACAATAAACTTGAGAGGTAGGGACGTTTTGTGCTAATTACTCGAGTATCTACCTACTTATTTTAACTTTAGACTTAATAGTCTTTGAAATTATATTGAGACTTAGAGTTTCGTCTTGAAACGTCAATCTTGTTAGTCTAAATCATTACATTATTTATTATTTTTATTTCTAATTTATGTGAAACTTTAACCTTAAAACGGAAATGGTATGATGGAGCATTTTTAAGAAGCAAGAGGAAAATTCCCAAGTACGAAGCCAGTTGTTTTAAGATTTCGTGAATTGCATTTCAAGATTTCAAAGTAACCAACGTGCATATATATTTCTTATATTCAAAATACACTGCACAATTTCCTTTCTCTATATTCTGTATTGAAATTGTTTTGATTCAAGATATCTGATTTTTGATGATTTTTCTTTAATGTAGCATTCATAATGTGCCTCGTGACATTCCATAGGAGAAAAATGCGTAGGAAGAGCTGCAGTTTTTTTTAAGACATGCAATCATTAGTCTAGAAGTCGTTAGTCTATTATTTTCGAGTTCATGTGTTGGAGGTGTAAAATTACGTCCTCCTATGTAATATTATGTAATTTTCTACCCGTTTTCATATACGAGTAAAGATCGCCGGAAAAAAGACAAACATTTATTTCCAAAAAAAATTTACATTTTAATTTTTTTTTCAACGATTACATTAACGATAAATTACTAGCTCAAATTTTGGAATTTATAAATAAATACAAGATGAAAATGTGGCATGGCATGAGTTGAGTTTGGATAATATAATAAAACCCTTCCTCCTATCTTTAATTTTTTTTTTTTGGCATGACTTTTAGAGTTAATTAAGAAAATATAATAGATTCACAAATTCCTTTTCATTCTTATATTATTTATTGGATTTAATTATTTCGTTTTTCAATTAAAAATTTGACTTTTAATTCTTCTTGCTACACCTAAGATTAATTAAGTTCGACCATTCAATTGAAAATAAATTTTGTATAAAATAAAGGAGCTATATGGAGACCTTCTTTTGAAAAAAATAAAATAAAATCAAAGTGGCCCAAAACATATTTTTGTTTATTTACTTATTTAAGTTTAATATTGTCAAAACGTTATTTAATCTCTTACCTTGTAAATTATGGTCTCTTAAAATCATTAACATAAACGTCTTAGCATTAATGATAAATTTTAGTCTCCATTTGCCCCTTATTTTAAAATTTAGTTTTTCGTAAATTCATTTTTAATCACACCTTCTCCTTGTAAAATAATTATGTATTTGAGTACACAACTTTTTCATATTTTTAAACCACACATTTATCAAAAAATCACTTTTCACAAGATGAAAGCTAATAATAAGTGGACAATATAGCATTTTATTTTATTATTTCATGAATTTAATTTTGATTTCACTCTCAAAATTTAAATTAAGGTTGCCTGCTAAAGACATTACCTTTCAAGAATTAATTATCATAAATTACTGAAATTTAATTTCTTCTGACCTGTTTTAGTATACCCTATTAAATTAATTTTGCATACAGCTATTTATCATCTTTATTCTATTTAGTTGAGACATTAAATGTATTTTCTTCCTTTGAGAAAAATATATCCATAATTAATTATTCAGATACGAATTCTAAAATTAAATTATTGGACAAATTAAATATTCTAACGAATATTAATATATAATTTATTAGCAATAACAAGACAAAGAAAGTTTACAATAATATTTACTCACGAATTTAAATAAAAATTAATCATGCAAGAAACAGCCAAGAAAACCCTAAAAG